AACTGCATTGTGGGGAGCATGGCATGGCTTTGCAAACATCACGAGCATCTATTGGCATCAAAAGTTGAACAATGTTCAACTTTTGAGGCTCGATGCTTGGCATCAGCCAATCAAATCCCGTTTATGCAAATCCCGCCAGTACAAGCGCTAGCCAATCAAACCGCGTGCAAGCTGGGAGAGCCAGACCGCAGTTCATTTCCTCATATTCCAAACGAGAAATTACGGTAGCAAATCACCCGGTTCTTTACGACCAAAACTATTTACCGGGATACAAACCGGAGGAACCAGGCATGGAGGGAGGTGGCAGAGACAGTGGGTGAAACTGGTAGGTTTTCGCCTGTTTGGGGAGTTTATATCCAGTTTACTTCGTTTTAACATTTCTATTGCTTTGTATGTCGGGGGCGGGAGATTCATGTGATTGGTTGTTGGTCGCAAAAAATCGCAACGCTTCAGACACGCCCAGCATCAAGATTTTTCAAGATTTTTTTCATGCCTGTGTGTGGACGGGCCGTCAATGTGGAGGAGGCTTGCTTGGTAGCACAAGTATGCTGGGCATTTAAACAGTGATTCGGCGCCACTCGATGACGTAGTTTTCTTGAAATAGTGGCTCTGGAGCAGCTTTACTCGACATTGAGAAATGGCCACAGTCTACCTGAGCCTTTCTTCACTGCAGGAACATGTTTCACACTTGAGTATCCACTGAAATTTGCAAACATTTGGATGAACCACATTTTAAAGAGGACGGAATTGAGTAATTGTTATATTCTGTGTGTAGGGGAGGGAGTTGCTGTGGGACAGTCATTGATCGACTGAATCGATGCTGATTGCGGTGCTAAGATGACGAATAACAAGCGAGACATTTACACTACAAGCCTCCAAAATGGCGTCCCTGACGTTGTTTCATAAAGCTTCGTTCATGAAAAGAAATAACATGATACTGAGATCTTTCGACCACATTGACTGGGATGGAACCAGGAGACTGCTGGGACCGGTTGGAACCACTCGGTAGCCCAAACTGTCTTCAAGAAGATCTCAGCCAGATGCTGAGACATCTTCTGGGCCACCCTTTGGTTTCTAGCTTCTACCTCTCGCTCCCTCTGTACGGTGTCCTCTCATCTATACTGATTAGGACCTTTTTTTTTATTATTCTCTATTCTCCTTTTTTGCGTAGTAGTTGGTGAAAACAGACAATAGTAAAATCTTGATTGCTATTATTGCATTTGTTAAAGGCGTGCGTATTATGTAATAACACATCTTCTGAACCAATCACATAAAAACTTTGAAAATGACTTGCATTAAGTATCAACCACAATTGATGCAGACCTATCTAACACAGCGATGGTTATACCTGAATGGTTAAGGTACCCTTGGCACTGTCAGTCTGCAGGTGGATCTCCATCTGAGCCGTTTCTCCGCCTGCCGTCATCAGTTTGTGGCGCAGCTTCTCCAGAGCGTCACTGCCGTTGGAGATCAGCTCCCTGATGAACACCTGGTGGGTCGGAAAGAGGAGAACAGTTATAGGTTATATCTGAAAGGTCAATCAAGCTGCATTATATTAATGCACACACACACACACACACGCACACACGCACAAGCGCGCACACACACACACAAACACTACCACTAACCTCCTTCTCGGAGTACAAGGACCTGGCAACAATGTCCAGCAGTTTTTTCGTCTCAGCCTGAAATTCATGTTTGGAAAAGTCACCTGCATGAATCATGGGGTAGAAAAAAAACATTAAGATTATCTTAATTCTAACAAATCAGAAGCTTGCCATTGTCTTTGAGGGAGTTGCATGTCTGCAGCTGTTTCGGCACCTTGAACAGCCTCAGTGTCGCTGATGATGGTGTGCAGAGGCTCCTCTTCAGGCTCCTTCTCCATCTCCTTCTCCATCTCCTTCTCCATTTCCATCTCCTTCTCCAGCTCTTTCTCAGGCTGCTTCTCAGGCTGCTTCTCCGCCTCCTGGGTGCTGTAGTAGGACTGCTGGCTGAAGCCCAGGCCGGGCCGCTGGGAGCTCCACAAGGGGGGCCGACTGCTCCACCCCCGCTGCTGTCCAGCCTGCAGGTCTGATGGCAAGAGGGGAGTCAGCTGACACTTACATTTTAACTTTTTGGATGCCTTAAATCAGGGTTGTCCAAACCTTTTTCACCGAGGGCCACATACAGAAAAATATATGAAGGGCTGGGCCGCTTATAGGAGGTATATTGCCTCGTAAGTTAAGTTATAAGTTAGCAAAATGTAGGTAAATTAGGCTTGATACATGAATATGCTTTAAGGAAAAAACAGCCTACATCACAGCTCTCTATAGGGTTTCATTTATCTCGTTGGCAACTCATCCCTTAAAACAGAAGCCTCAGAGTGAGTATAATAAGATGAAATATGAAGAGTCTATTTAAAGCTTGTTATGTAAATAAGTCGTTGGGCTTTTTTTTGATCAACTAAGATTTGTTCGAAGATGTTTTCAACATGAATTGACTGAATTTATTTTAAAAGTGGGCTTATTAACACATGAATACTACTGTGTCATATATTTTCACATATATATTTAAGAGGTACAATATAAGACAAGCACAAGTTTCATTTGTGGGCCATATTTCATTAT